CCACCCACCATGCAGGTCGAGGGAAGCCTGAGGTGGTGTCAGTGGTGGGCCGGGCTGGGGAGAGCACCGTGCTGGGCTGTGACCTCCTGCCCCCAGCCGGCCGGCCCCCGCTGCACGTCATTGAGTGGCTCCGCTTCGGATTCCTGCTTCCCATCTTCATCCAGTTCGGCCTCTACTCTCCCCGCGTTGACCCTGAATACATTGGTAAGAGTTAGCCTTGGTGGGGGGCTGGGGGGGGATAGGGAGACAGCACCAACAAAGGGGATCTGGGAAGGGTGGGAGCAAGACTCCTTCCTAACTGCCCTGTCTCTGTCCCAACCTCATCCCACTCCCCTGCCTCCATGCAGCTTAGTGAGCTGTGCCTCTGCTTCCCAGCAGTGTTTATTCATGGACTGATTCATTCATTTACACACATACACCAGCGGTATAGCTGTGCCATTTAGAACTCCACGCGGTCCGTTCCAGAGGGGATGCTGCAGCGCTATTCCAGCCTAATTCTCTAGTCCCTCTTTCTAGATATCATCACGAAACCTTCCAGACACCATCCTGATTTTCTCTAGTCCCCCCACTTGGCCCTATCCTGGTTTCCGGTTTGCTAGCTGTTCACCACACCGCACCCTGCCCCGACCCAGTGTCTTAAATGCTAGTTCAGGGGATCCTAGGCTTGCTCAGGAGTGGGCCAGTGGGGTGACAGGGTGGGTGTCCCTTTGGTTTCTCCGGTAGTGGCTCAGCCTGATTCTGAGTACAGAAGAGCAGATGCATTGGGGGGTGGGCTAGAGAGGGCCAGGCCCCCTAAAGATCAGTGAATGAACTGGACTGGGCTGGGCTGCTGCTGCCGGTGGGTCCTGCGTGGGTCTTAAGATAGTGCACAGGCATCCCGGGAGGCCTTGTGCTGTGCCGCAGCTGACTCCCTAGAATGGCTCTGCTTCCCCCTAATCCTGGCTGCAGCCTTAATCGGAGTGGTTCAGTGCTGGGCCAGGGCAGGCAGGTCTCAGAGGGCGGCATGCGGGGAGGTCTTGAGGATGTGTCTGGGCTGCCGTGGCATCGAGCTTGTGCTTTGCACAAGCGAGAGTCTAGGCAAGGCCACCTGGGAGGATGTCGATGGGGGACAGCACCCCCACCTTTTGTCTCTTCAGTTTGAATCCTGGAAGAGGCCCTGCGATTGGCTGAACTCTCGGCTCAGGGCGGGCTCAGCAGGTGCCGGAGAAGGGAAGAGTTTATTTTCAAACTGGGGGCGGTTGCTGGCAAACAGCCTGGTGGAAGTATGTGTGTCTACACCAGCCCCGTGGGAATTGATGAGAGCAGGGCCCCAGTCAGGACAGGAGGGGAAAATACCTCCCTCCCTCCCTCCGCGCCTGCCCGGCCAGGAGGGGTTTGGGCTGTTGGGAGGAGGCTGGACAAATTCAGAATGTAGCCCTGACTAAGGGCAAGGGGAGGTGGAGGAGAGGAGAGAGGGCTTTCCGGAGATGGAGCAGAGGTATAAATGAAACTCTTCTCCTTCCCTCTGCCCTGTCTTGAGGTCTCCCTGGCATGCAGGCCACTGGATGGTGGACACTTTGCCTACCTGTGGGTCATCTTTCGCCTCTGTTCTTTTGAGCACCAAGGGCCGTGAGCAGTAACCCCTGAGGCTTTCTTTGGACCCCTACCCTTTATTCTCATCCCCACCCCCAGTCTGGGCCTCCTGGTCAGGCCAGAGCTGGTCTAGGGAGTCAGGACTCACAAGAGAGGCCCCTGAGCCCATTAACCTTTTTTCTGCCTCTCAGTCTGGAAGGGGCCTCTCCGCCTTTGTGTAGGGGACTCCGAACTGCCGTTGCTAAGCAACAGGAGGTAGAGGTTGCAGCGGACAATGCTGTACTGTCATAAATCCTCTGGGCAAGTGAGCGGGAGATGGGCCTGGGACTGTGCGTGAGGCTGGTGGCCTAGAATGTGTGAGGGACCAGTGAGAGAGACCTTTTGGAGTTTAGGGGCTATACTGAAGGGGATGGTTCCAATCTTCATGGGCTCTTGAATCCATCCTGCAGAGGAGACTGAATTTGTAGAATAGTACAAAAGTAGTACAATACAATATAAAACAAGATATGACTATATACTAGCACTAAGTTAACCATACCCCGTTGCCATTGAATCGATTCCAACTCTTGGTGACCCCATGTGTTAACAGAGTAGAACTGCTCCATAGGGTTTTCTTGGCTGGAATCTTAATGGAAGCAGATCCTCAGGGCTTTCTTCTGTGGAACCACTGGGTGGGTTCAAACCACCAAACTTTCGGTTAGTAGATGAGTGCAAACCGCTTAACTACTACACGTAAGGTACTCAGCCCAGAGCCTAGTACAGAGTGCTTGGTCAACAGTGACAGCTAGGTGGTTGGTCTGCACTGTGACACAGTTATCCAGAGGAAAGAGAGGCTAGGTTCACACTGCACCAGCTCTCCTGGTGTGGGGCTTAGACCAACTCTTCTGACCCATGTCATGGGCCTCTGCTCTTTGACTTTTGTGCTGCGTTATTTGGGAGTCTCAAGAGGCCCCACACAGTAGAAAGGAAGTGAATCTTCTTTCAGTCCTGAGTTGTTTGACAAAAATCCAGTATCTCATTTTCCCCTTTAGGGCTCCATGTAGGAATCTCCCCTTACTACCCTTTGCCCTTCAAAGCCCTCTGCGTAATCGCGTCTTCCCAGAAGCCTTCCCTACGCCTCTTGCTTCACAGACTCTTGGAATGCTGGGCATAGTCAGCGCCATGTGCGTATGTGCGCTTGCACATGTGAACATAACAGTGGGTGACCTGCCTTCTGAGAACTTGAGAGAACAGACTGTGTCTCCTATTTCCCTTACATATCGTTTCATGCGGGGAGATCTAAAGAACATCAGGATCTGGCCCTGCGGGTGGAAGGTGGGCCTCCAGGAGGTGGGCCCAGGACTCTGGAGGACTCAGGACTGCCTGCCCCTGGCTGTCTTCCTGTTCATCCATAACGCTACCAGTTGCCATGGAGTCAATTCTGCCTCAGGGCGACCCCATGTGTTGCAGAGTAGAACTGCACTCCATGGGGTTTTCAATAGCTGTGATCTTTTGGAAGGAGACCACAAAGCCTTTCTTCCAAGGCGCCTCTGGGGGGATTCCAACTGCCAACCTTTTGGCTAGTAGCCGAGTGCTTAACCATTTGCACCACCCAGAGATCCTATCTACAGGTCTAGAAATCCATATCTCACAGAAAAGTTAGGACATGCAGTATGCTTCATCGGATATTTTGGTTAACGGCCATTTGGAACTACTACACATCAGCTACGAACATCTCCTGAGTGATAGTACACTGTGCTCAGTGCTGAGATTGTACTGACATCAACTGAGCTTAACACCAGTGTCCAGTGAAAACATACTGCTTCTCGAGAAAGAAAGGCTGGCTTTGTGCCTTGCTAGCCATGTGGGCTTAGAAAGAAACTTAATACCTGTTCCTTTGTCTACAAAGGAATTCTTGTGAGGATTAAATATGGTGACGATGCCTAATATTGCATGGCTCGTTTTCAGAGTTCATTCTCCCTTCCCTCTTCTTCCTGCTTTGTAGAGCTAGATGGTCACCATATTGAAAAGTCACTATCCTATGGGTCTTAGAAGAGGTTGCAGTCTGGGGTCTGCAGCACTAGGTGGCAAAGCAGATGAGGGTTACGGAGGAATCCCACTGATGGAAGTGTGTGATTGTGTTAAATATTTACCTGCTAGGCCTATGGTTATCTTCTGGGTGGGGATTTAAATACCTCGCCCTTTAAGCAGGTCCACCCATCCTAGAGAATCCACACCCGTGGAATGCATTCTGAAAGAGATAAGTCCCTTGCCTGAGATCGCAAATTAGCCTCAAGTTGATCATTCCCCTCTCCTTCCCTGGCATTAGAGGCACCACAGGCTTCCATTATAATTCAGAAAGATCACCCTACAGAGAGAGTGGAAGCAGATGGGAGGGGTGAGTGCAGTAGCAGCTTCAGAATTTCTAGTATTAGGAACGGCTTAGGGCCGCAGTCTGGTTGGCTGGGATGGACACGCTGCTAAGGGACTTGGCTTGGAGCTGCATTTGCATGCCCCATCAGATTTAGAGAATGTCATTTGTCCCTATCAAAGGTCAGGGTGGGAGTGGGCAACTGATGAATGTAGATAGGGGAGAGGCTGGAGGCAGGGAGACCTATGACTAGGCTGTTGGAGTAACCCAGATGAGCGATACCTATAGGTCTACACTAAGGTGAAGCTGGTTGAGAAGGGGAAATTTATGTAGAAGGTAGAATTTAAATAAAGTTCTACTCTCCACATATGGGGCCACCATGAGTTGGAATGGACTTGGTGGCCGCTGACAACAACAATTAACAAGTAGACGCGGGGATAAGGGTGAGAGGTGTCTAGGTGATACGTTTCTGGTAGGGTGAGTTGATGCATGGTAGTGCAGCGAACTCGGAGAGGGTGGGGGAGAGAGGAGAGATGACGTGTTATCAGATGAGGGATAGGGTTCTGATTACAAATCCCGAGCTCATTTGTTTGTTCAGCAGCCCTTGTTTGAGCACCTGCTGATGCCAGGCACCATGCTGGATGCCTTCCCTGCATTCTCTCCCCCCTCCACCCCGCCCACATTTTTTGTGCTTTATCATATTGAAGATGAAGAAACCGAAGTTGAGAGAAAGGTTAAGTAGCTTTCCCAAAGGAGCACACAGCAGAGCTGGAACCGTGTCTAGGTCTTTCTGGCTCCCAAGTGTTTGCTGGAACCCCTGGTGGTGTAGTGGTTAAGTGCTACAGCTGCAAACCAAAAGGTCAGCAGTTCAAATCCACCAGGTGCTTCTTGGAAAGTCTGTGGAGAAGTTCTACCCTGTCCTATAGGGTCACTATGAGTCAGAATCGACTCCACAGCAACTGGGTTGGTTTTTTTGGTTTAAGTATGTGCCTCTCTCACTCGCCTGCCCGGCCAGGGACCCCTGAATCTGTCTGGGGTGTAGGCCTCTGTTAGGGGAGGGTGTGGAGGAGATTTGGGTGGCACTGTCCATCTGAGCCTGGCTGTGTGGTGTGGGTGTTGACTAAGGGTGCGGATGAGGTGTCTGCTTGGGCTGTGGCTGTGTGGCTTTATGTGGTCAGTCAGCTGGAGCCTGCAGGCCTGGAGCGTGGAAGGGCTGGGAGATGAGGCTGCTGACTTTGCTGCCTGGCCGGGCTGGACTCTGGCCACCCTAAGGCGCTTAGGCTGCTGATAATAGCCCTGAGGGATTAGAGGCTTTGGGGCCTGCTAGGGCCGCAAACTTGGCTGAGGTTTCCAGTGACAGAGTCCTCTGGTGGGAGAAGGACTCCTGGGAGCCCATACCTTCCCTTACAAAAGAACTCCAGAGTCGGGGGGCAGCCAACAGCCCTGGAAGGTGGGTATAGTTCAGTGGAACTCTCTACCATCTGGGTTTCTGTTTGTCTACACTGGGCCCACTGTGCTGAAAGACAGGGGTGGTCAGAGGGGCTGCACCCAGGGACCTGCCCCCAGTGGCCCCAGCCCTATCTGTGCCTCTTTGGACCCCACTTTAGGTAACTGTGGGAGAATGACCAATGTGGCCAGGGGTTTGGGGCTACCAGGAGGTCTCGTCATCATCCCTGATTCAGGACTCCTCCCCCAGGGCGGGTCCGGCTGCAGAAAGGGGCGTCACTCCAGATTGAGGGGCTCCGGGCAGAAGACCAGGGCTGGTACCAGTGCCGCGTGCTCTTCCTGGACCAGCACCGCCCCGAAGACGACTTTGCTAACGGCTCCTGGGTGCACCTCACAGTCAATTGTATGAAGCTGGGGTGCAGGTGGTGGAGAATGGGAATGAGGGGGAGAAAGGGGAAGAGAAAGTTCTCTTTCCATCCACACGCAATTCCAGTGCCCCACCCTTCCTGGCAGGCCTGTTTCCATGCTCGCTTTTTACATCCTGCCTTTTCAGTTCTTCAAATCTAAATCCAATCAGCCTTCTAGGCTCCAGGCTCTGGGTCAGGAGCTTCCCTTTCTTTCCCCTCTCTGTCCTACTCCTGCTTTCCTTGCCCTAAGAGGGTAATTAGGGGGTGAAGTTGGGCCCTGAGTGAACCATAGCTCACATACCTATTTACCCAGTACTTCATTAATTCTCTCTCAACCCTAAGAAGGAGAGGGGTCATAATTATTCCCATTTCAAAGATGAGGAGACTGAGGCATGGAAAGGCTAGGTCATGCCACTGATGAGTGCCAGAGCAGAGCCTAGATCCTGGCCTCCTGACTTCCAGAACAGTGCTCTCCTGAGGGCACCTAGCTTTCCACCTTGCTCTGAACACCCAGCCTAGGTTCACCCCTAGCGCGGCAGGCCACTGTGTGGGCACAGGCTGGCTCTGGGTGCAGCAGACAGGGTGGCTCTGGGCTGGAGTTCCTGTGAAGCTGGGCAGGCTGAGCTGAGGCTGAGTGGTCTGTCTCCCTGGCCCTCCGACATGCTCTCTGGGCTGATAGCCCCTCTTGGCAGCCCCTCACGCCTCTCTCTCCGCAGCACCCCCTCAATTCCAGGAGACTCCTCCCCCAGTCCTGGAAGTGCGGGAACTGGAACCTGTGACCCTGCGTTGTGTGGCCCGCGGGAGCCCCCAGCCTCGAGTGACTTGGAAGCTCCGCGGACAGGACCTTGGCCAGGGCCAGGTGCACTTGGGCCAGACAGAGGCAAGGGACAGATGGGGCCTGGGAGCGGGGCTGGAGGGCCGCGGGGCCAAACGGCAGGTTGGGAGACCGATCCGCTGAGGAGGGGCCGCACCTTGGCTTTCCCGAGCCTGGGTTGCTCCCGCCCTCTGCTGGCCAGGCTCGGAGGCACAGCGTCTGAGGCCAGTAGGAAGTGACAGTACTAACTCCTTCCCCAGGTGCGGAATGGGACGCTGTGGATCCGGCGGGCAGAGCGGGGCAGCTCTGGGGTCTACACCTGCCAAGCCTCCAGCACCGAGGGCAGTGCTACCCACGCCACCCAGCTGCTGGTGCAAGGTGCTCTGTAGGGGGAGGGCTGGAAGCCAGGGTCACGTGTGTGAGAGAGGACTGTGACCAGTGGCGGGGGTGGGGGTGGGGTGGAGCCCAAAGCAAGTGTGGGGAGGAGACTTTGGCCTGAGGGTAGGGGCCTGTGGAGAGTGAGGGAGCTCCCAACGCAGGCTGTTGCTCTAAAACTCATTGCCGTCAAGTGGATTCCGACTCATAGTGACCCCATAGGGCAGAATAGAACTGCCCCCTAGGGTTTCCAAGGAGTGGCTGGTAGATTCGAACTGCTGACCTTTTGGTTAGAAGCCCATCTCTTAACCACTATGCCACCAGGGCTCCGTTGCTCTAAAACCAGCATCTTAATTTTAAAAGAATCAGTAAATGCATGAATAGATAGTGTCCCGCAGTGTGGTGTAGTGGAAAGGGCATAAATGCCGATGTTAAAACTTCTGACCGTCAGCCTTTTAACCTCCCCGAGCCCGTTTCCTTATTTATATTAATGGCTTCACACGTACATCTCAGACTGTTACAAGGACTTAATTAGCTAACTACCAAGCACCAGCTGCCGTTGAGTTGATTCCAACTCATAGCGACCCTATAGAACAGGGAAGAACTACCCCATAGGGTTTACAAGGAGCACCTGGTGGATTCGAACTGCTAACCTTTTGGTTAGCAGCTGTAGCTCTTAACCACTATGCCACCAGGGTTTCCAACTACTAGCAGAGTGATTGGCATATAGTAATTCCCAGCCAAGACCTCCTTTTTAGGAGGAAAGCTGAGGAGTATAATGCCCAGACTCTGCCTTCATAGGGTGTATTATCTACGTGGGGGTAGACAGAAGACTAATCCGTGAAACAGAGAAGCGTTGCTCTCTGTGGCACTGTGGGAAAGGCAGGGTGTTATAATGGTTAAGAGCAGCCTCTAGCATCAGGAAGGCCTGAATATGAATCTTGCCTTTCTTACTCACCTTGGCCAAGTCCCTCTGCCTTTGAGTCTTAATTGCTTCATGTATAAAATAGGGAAAGTAATTCCTACCACGAAATGCTCTTGTGAGGATTGAGTTGAAGCAAGTACGGTGCTCAGCAGAGTGCCTGGCACACAGTAGGTGCCCTATACTTGCCAGCTCCTGTTATTACCTCGCCCAGAGTCAGAGGTTGCTGCAGCGTCTTGGGGTGACATACTGGGTACCCGGATGAGGGTAAGAGACGGAGTGGTTGAAGACTTGACAGATGGGAGATATTAAGGGTAACAGCAGAGAGTTAAAACGGACCCTCACTCCTCTCCCCCCGCACCAACAGTTTCTAGGTGGGAAAACGAGGTGAAAGGGATTGCCCCTGGTGGAATGGAAGGGGAGCTGGTCTCGGGACAACATAACTTTTCCTACACCCAGGAGGAAGGTCCTCCTGCAATTCCCCAAGGCTCTGCAACCACCAGCCCCGTACTCCAGAGGGCAGAGCTGAGAGGACTGTGAGCTGAAGCCGCCTCCCTTCCCGTGTGCTCCCCCCCAGGGCCGCCGGTTATTGTGGTGCCCCCCAAGAACAGAACCGTCAACGCCTCCCAGGATGTTTCTTTGGCCTGCCAGGCTGAGGCCTACCCAGCAAACCTCACCTATACCTGGTTCCAGGACAGCATCAATGTCTTCCACATCAGGTGGGGCTCGGGTTGGGAGGTGTGGGTGGGGAATTGGTGGACAGTTTATAAGGAGCCCTATGGCAGCGTCTGGACCCCTCCCCACACATGCCATATTGCAGCCGCCTGCAGGACCGGGTGCGGATTCTGGTGGATGGGAGCCTGTGGCTGCAAGCAGCCCAGCCTGATGATGCTGGCCGCTACACCTGTGTGCCCAGCAATGGCCTCCTGCACCCGCCCTCAGCCTCTGCCTACCTCACCGTGCTCTGTAAGCCTGACCCAGCTGCTTCCCCAGCCTCCATCTCTCCCCTGGGCCAGGCCAGCCCAACATGCCACTCTTTCCCCCCAAGACCCAGCCCAGGTGACGTCGATGCCGCCTGAGACACCCCTGCCTGTAGGCATGCGGGGGGTGATCCGGTGTCCTGTTCGTGCCAGTCCCCCACTGCTCTTTGTCAGCTGGACCAAGGATGGCCAGGCCCTGCAGCTGGACAAGGTACAAGCTTGGGGCAGGGGGAAAGAATGGCTTAGCTTGATGGTGTTCTGCTCAGGAGGACGGCTGGGGTGGAGTTAGCTTGGTTTAATTCAGTGATTATGGAACATGCAGTTCCTACCAGGTGCTGTGCAGGGTGTCGAGTGAGAAAGGGTACAGCCTAAAGGGGGTAGGACAGTGTTCTTAGTGCTACTATAACAGAAATGCCACAAGTGGGTGGATTTAATGGAGCCCTGGTGGTGCAGTGGTTAAGTGTTCGGCTGCTAACCAAAAGAAAGGTTGGCAGTTCGAATCCACCAGCCACTCCTTGAAAACCCCATGGGGCAGTTCTACTCTGTCCTATATGGTCACTAGGAGTCAGAATCCACTCGACAGCAATGGGTTTGTTTGTTTTTTTTTGTAGGGGGTAGCTTTAAAAAACAAATTTATTTTCTCAGAGCTTAGGAGTCTGAATTCAGGGTACTGGCTCTAGGGGAAGGCTCTGTTTCTGCTGGCTCTGAGGGAAGGTCTTTGTCTCTTCAATTTCTATTCCTTGGTTCCTTGGTGATCTCCATGTGGTGTGCCATCTATCTTCCCCCATCCGTGCTTGCTTGCTTGCTTCTGTGCCTAACCTGTTCTTTTTCTATCTCAAAGGTGATTGGTTTAAGACATATCCTACACGAATTATGGCCTCATTAATATAATATAGAAACCCTATTGCCAAATGGGATTACATCCACAGGTATAGGGTTTCAGATTTACAACACATATTTTTGAGGGACACAGTTCAATCCATAACAGACAGCAACATAGATGTTCTGCTAGAAGGGCTGGGATGGAGAAAGTGTCTTCCTCTTAGGCTGGCTGAGGATAGATCAGCAACAGCTTCTGGGACTTTGAAGATGGGCCTTGAAGGATGGACAGGCATTCCAAGCAGAATCAAGGGCCCAGAGGCAGGAAAGAGTATAGTGTGTTTATACTGTGAATAATGAGTCCTCCAGTTTGGTGGGAGCAGCAGTGCCTGTAGGGACATGAACGGTGCAGTGAAAGCTAGAAAGACAGGTTGGGGCCAAAAGGAAGAACTGTAGATGCCAAGTTAATATGACCTCATTGCAAGGCAAACTGGAATCTTTTATTTGTCTGCAGAGACTATAAATTCCTTGAGGGTTAGGACTGCATCTTTTAATCATAGTGTCCCCAGGGCTTCTGCAATAGTGGTACTCAATAAATTTCTGTTGAATGTTTAAAAAAAAAAAAAGTCTAAAGGCATCTGGATCACGTGAAGTGTTTTGAGCGATGGTGTGATACCATCAGAGCTGTGATTAGGAGTTGAGCGTGTCCGCTAGAATGTCGAGGGGGAGACGCTAGACACAGGGAGAGAAGCTCAGAGGCTGTTGAAATGGACCAGGTGAGAGGTTATGAAATCTGAGTTAGAGGGAAGGAGGGAAGACATGGAGATGGATGGGCCCTCATGCCTGGACAAAAGGAACTTCCCAGAATGACAGACTTGACAAGTGTTTAGATAGAGGGAGGGGGGGAGGGAGGGAGGGTGAGGAGCCAAATTTTAATGGGGAGGGTGGAGGGCATCTTTAATAGAAATACAGAAGCCAGGAAAAGGAACTGGTTTGGAGTGAAAAGGAGTCCCCAGGCAGTGCAGACACTTAAGTGCTTAGCTGCTAACTGAAAGGTTGGAGGTTCAAGTTCACCCAGAGGTGCCTTAAAAGAAAGGCCTGGCGATCTGCTCCTGAAAAAATCAGCCATTGAAAACCCTGTGGGGACAGTTCTACTCTGACACAGATGGAGTCGTCAGGTATTGGGGCGGACTAGACAGCAACTGGTTAACTGGCTGGGGTGGAAAATGCTGAATTTAGTTGTGGAATGCTGGGAGGACAGCTAGGTGAGGTCCCAGCAGGCAGCAAACCCCAGGGGCTCCATTCCAGCTTTAGGAGGTGCCATTTACACTGTATTTTCTGTGAGTGGCGCCCCCTGGAGTTTGTAGTCACAGCTGCCACGTTCGTTTATAGTGGTCCGTCTGCAGGAAAGAGAAACGAGGCACTGGAATTGAGAGAGCGGTCACGCCTAGGGATACTTGTGGAGACCTCTCATACGGTCTCTGTCCCCTCTGTTGCCTCTCCCATCTCGGTCTTGCCTCTCCTGAGTTTCTTCCTCTTCTTGTCATCTCTTCTTCCCCCCAGTTTCCCGGCTGGTCCCAGGGCACGGAAGGCTCATTGATCATTGCCCTGGGGAATGAGGATGCCCTGGGAGAATACTCCTGCACCCCTTACAACAGTCTCGGTACTGCAGGGCCCTCCCCAGTGACCCGCGTGCTGCTCAAGGTGAGGCCCAGGGTGGCCCAGGGGCCCACAGGAGAAGTGCGTCAGGTGGTTGAAGAAGCATACCTCACTGCTGAGCCAGGCTGACAGAGCGGGCCATCCCGCTGTATGGGGAGGGGCTCCTAAGTCTCCGGCTTCCCCATGATGGCCACAGGAGCAGCTGTTAGATGCCATCCACAGAGATTTTTGCGGAGATGGTGCTGGGGAGGTGGGACATCAGGCACATGACATATCCACAAAGAACAAGGATAGAAATGGTCCCTCCCCACCCTGACTCTCACCAGCCTTGGCCATGCTGCTTCCCTCTCTGGAGCTCTAGGGAGAAAAGGATGGAAAGCAAGGGGGTGGAGAGTGGGTAAAAGGGTGTTCTATAGAGGTTTAGATATCTCCAGAGAGACCCACCCCAGCCACCAGTCCTTGTTCTATCCCAATATTTCCCTCCAGCCCTACCCGTTATAGCTAGAAATTGAGAGCTGGAGAAAGAATGAGATAGAGTGAGACATATGGTGTGACAGGGAGCCCTGGGGAGGAGGAATAACCAGCCTTAATGTAAGAGAGGGTAAGAGAGCCCCCTCCCAATGCCAGACCTGGCTTGCAGGCTCCGCCAGCTTTTATAGAACGGCCCAAGGAAGAATATTTCCAGGAAGTAGGGCGGGAGCTACTCATCCCCTGCTCTGCCCAAGGAGACCCTCCTCCATCTATCTCTTGGGCCAAGGTAAGGTTCCTGACCCTGCTCTGCCTGTATTCGTGCCCACTACACCCCTGCCTCTGCATCCCCCTGGGCCATTGTGGGGAAGGAGGATGCGGGGAAGAGAGGGCTGTTGGAGGCAGAGTGGGAGGAAGCTGGAGCTGCCCAGAGGGACAAGTGGCGCCCTTGGTGAGGGGTGGCTGCATGTGTCCTCAGGGCTGACCCGTGGTTCTGTAGGTGGGCCGGGGGCTGCGGGGCCAGGGCCAGGTGAACAGCAACAGCAGCCTGATCCTGCGGCCACTGACCAAGGAGGCCCATGGGCGCTGGGAGTGCAGTGCCAATAATGCTGTCGCCCGAGTGGCCACCTACACGAATGTCTACGTGCTGGGTTAGTGGCTGGAAAGCGGGAGGAGGGGCTGGAGGAAACCATGGGGGAATCATCTTTGGAGGCCCATGTTGGGGAACGCCTGGGATGATGGGTGGAGGGAAGAGGCCTTGAAGCTCCCCTTAGCTCTTCACCTTCCCTTGGGGCCCTGACCACCATCCCTCACTCCATTCTCCCCTCCCCAGGCACCAGCCCCCACGTCGTCACCAATGTGTCGGTGGTGCCTTTGTCCAAGGGTGTCAATATCTCCTGGGAGCCTGGCTTTGATGGTGGCTATCTGCAGAGATTCAGTGTCTGGTACACCCCACTGTGAGTGCCCCTACCATCACTGTACACCAGCCTCACCCCCTCTCCTCTCCACTGAGTCTGTCTGGCCCTCTGGGCCTTTTCCTATCCCTCTATCCCTGGTCCTGCCCCAACTCTGCTGCCCTGTTTCCAGAGAATCTTAGGTGTTCAGGACCCAAGTCCTGAGACCTGGATGGTTGACAGTTGGGGAGGGGCGAAAATCAGCTTTCTGGACCCCCAATCTTCCTGGTCTTCCTAGCTCCTGAGGTGCCTCCCATTTCCTCATGGCTCCCAGGTCCAAGCGTCCTGACCGAGTCCACCATGACTGGGTGTCCCTGGCAGTGCCTGTGGGGGCTGCTCACCTCCTAGTACCAGGGCTGCAGCCCCACACCCAATACCAGTTCAGCATCCTAGCTCAGAACAAGCTGGGGAGTGGGCCCTTCAGCGAGATCGTCTTATCTGCCCCAGAAGGTGAGACCTCTTACTCCAGAGCAGCAGAGACAAGGGCGGGGAAGGGCTGGTGGGAGGGCCCAGAGGTAGGAGGACCTGGATGGGAAAGGCGAAAGGGTGCTGGGCAGCTCGGGGTCCAGAGGGGCTTGTGGGTGATGATTTGAGCTTGTCTTTAGGGGCTTTGGGAGAATAGTTGGGTACTGGGGGCTGTGGAAGGCCAGGGACGAAGATGAGGAAGGCCAGGGAGAAGGATGAGGGACTGGGGATCCCATCTCTGACCTGCCTGTCTGTCCCCATCAGGGCTTCCCACCACACCAGCTACCCCCAGTCTTCCCCCGACAGAGATGCTTCCTCCCCTGTCCCCTCCCCGAGGTCTGGTGGCAGTGAGGACACCCCGGGGAGTACTCCTGCATTGGGACCCCCCAGAACTGGTCCCCAAGAGGCTGGATGGCTATGTACTGGAGGGCCGGCAAGGCACCCAGGGCTGGGAGGTGCTGGACGGGGCCGTGGGAGGCACAGATATGCAGCTGCTGGTGCCAGGGCTCATCAAGGTATAATGGCGACACAGTGGGGGCGGGGGGGGGGGTCCTCCCAGCACTCTTCAGCCCCGGTTCCATTCCCTGGTGTTTCCTGGGGTGATAGTCTCAACCTGATTTGACCATCTTCACCTCCTGCTCCCTACCTCACCCTTACCCCCAACTTTCCAAATGGGGCTGGGGTGGGCGGTGCTTGGCCCTAATGCTCTTCCTGGCACCCCCAGGATGTCCTCTATGAGTTCCGCCTGGTGGCCTTTGCCGGTAGCTATGTCAGTGATCCCAGCAACACGGCCAATGTCTCCACTTCCGGTGAGAAACCTGTGGGAGGGAAGGGCGCTGGGGCTGAGGGGAGAGGGGGTCCAGGCCCACCACGTCTTGGGGACTGACCCCCCCCCCCCCGCGACCCCTTGCCCAGGCCTGGAGGTCTACCCCTCGCGCACACAACTGCCCGGCCTCCTGCCCCAGCCGGTGCTGGCCGGCGTGGTGGGCGGCTTCTGCTTCCTGGGCGTGGCTGTCCTCGTGAGCATCCTGGCCGCCTGCTTCATGAACCGGCGCAGGGCTGCTCGCCGCCGCCGCAAGCGCCTCCGCCAAGGTAGACCCCCTTCTGCCGTCATCCCGCGGGCTGGTGGTTGGCACATCTGCCTCTTGAGGCCCAGACACCGGGAGAGCCCTGCCTTTCCATGAGCCCCTCCTACCTGGAGGAAAATCCCTCCCTCTTCCACGGTCCATTCCCAGAGCCCAAGGTCCTGCAGAGCCTTGCCGACTTTTTTCCAACCTGGCGGCCTTCTGCATGGGGTTGGGCGAGAGTGTGTGCGGCGGCCCTAGAGGAGCATATCCTTTGCTTGTGCTACCTCCTGTTCTCACGCTCTTACAGATCCACCTCTTATCTTCTCTCCGCCTAGGAAGTCAGCTCCACAGTAAGTCCCTCTACCTCCTTGGCGTCCCTCTGCTTTGCCATTATCCATGTCGGTATCCTCTGCTTCCTTTCCCGCACCTTGGGGAGGGGTGGGAGCCAGGGAGCAGAAGTTAGAGGAAGAAGAGAACCCGGGTGCAGAGGCCCTAGCCCGGGGCTGGTCCTGTGGTGGCGTGCCTTCCCGCCACCCCTCCACCATGTTGGTCCTTTCTCACTTGCTCTCCCTAGCTCTGCTCTGTTGTGCTCCAGACCTCTCAAGGCCTGACGCTGGCTTCTGGGAGGGGGACTGGCCACAGACCCTGATCTCCTGTCCCTCCCCAGCTCTGCTCCGGGCTCGGGCAGTCCTGACAGCGTGGCGAAGCTGAAGCTCCAGGGCTCCCCCGCCCCCAGCCTGCACCAGAGTCTGCTGTGGGGAGAACCCACTGGACCCCCCAGCCCCCCTCCGGATCCTCCACCTAGCCGGGGGCCCTTACCCCTGGAGCCCATTAGCCGGGGCCCAGATGGGCGCTTCGTGATGGGACCCAACGTGGGGGGCCCCCAAGAAAAGTCAGGCCCAGAGCGGCCGGAACCTCGGACCTCAGCCTGGCATCAGGCCCGGTCCTTTGACTGCAGCAGCAGCAGCCCCAGTGGGGCCCCCCAGCCCCTCTGCATTGCAGACATCAGCCCTGTGGGGTCCCCTCTGGCAGCCCCACCCAGCCCCCTGCCAGGTCCGGGACCCCTGCTGCAGTACCTGAGCTTGCCCTTCTTCCGGGAGATGAATGTGGATGGGGACTGGCCTCCCCTTGAGGAGCCCAGGCCTGCCCCACCCCCAGACTACATGGATACCCAGCCCTGCCCCACCTCATCTCTCCTTCACCCCCTGGACTCTCCACTTGTTACCCCCAGGGCAGCGCTCCCTGGGGCCCTGCTGGGGGCTGGGGCCACCACAGAGCCCCCTTACACAGCACTGACCGACTGGACACTGAGGGAGAGGATGCTGCCAGGCGTCCTCCCCACGGCCCCTCGGGGCAGTCTCACGAGCCAGAGCAGCGGGAGGGGCAGTGCTTCTTTCCTGCGGCCCCCCTCCACAGCCCCCTCTGCAGGAGGCAGCTACCTCAGCCCCGCTCCAGGGGACACCAGCAGCTGGGCCAGTGGCCCTGAGAGGTGGCCCCGAAGGGAGCACGTAGTGACAGTCAGCAAGAGGTGAGGCAGTCCTTGCTCATCCCTGCCCAGTCCTGCCCTGTCATCTCAGAACATCTCCTCAGTACCCTCCACCTATTCTGCTTCACTCCCACCCTGGGGCCAGGAGACCTTGTCTTCTTTTCCTGAGGCCCAGGGATATTCAGTCCTGGGTGGCACAGTTAAGCTCTCGACTACTAGCCGGAAAGTTGGTGGTTCAAACCCCCAGAGGCACTTTGGAAGACAAGCGTGGCGATCTGCTTCTGAAAGGTCACAGCCTTGAAAATCCTATGGAGTGCAGTTCTGCTCTGCACACATGGGGTCGTCATGAATCAGAATTGACTTGATGGCAACTGGTCTGGTTTGGTTTTAGGGATATTCAGGAAAACCTGTGGCCCGACCTAAGTTTGGGGACCCCAGCTTCAGCCTTTTCTGACTCCCCTCTATTCTTCCACGCACCCCACATTTGTCCCGTTTGACAGGAGGAACACATCTGTGGACGAGAACTATGAATGGGACTCAGAATTTCCTGGGGATATGGAGCTGCTGGAGACTCTGCACCTGGGCTTAGCAGGCCCCCAGCCCCGACCTGAAGCTGAGCCAGAGCTAGGTGGGCAAGCCCTGCAGAAAGGCAGGCACTCCTGGCCTCACTATCCCACATCCCCCGAAGCTTTAGGGCTCAGTCTGTTCTCAGTCAGACCCTGGCCCCCACTGGAGCCCAGTCCAGGCTCCTCTGCTCTGGACTGTGTCTCATTCCCATGGCTTACCTGCTCTGGAAGGCCCTGGAGAGCTTCGTGTTTGAGACTTCCGCCCTGTGAACCTCAAGCCTTCTTCCTCCTCTCCTTCTCTGGCCCCACTCTTGCAGGTGCTAAGACCCCAGAGGAGGGCTGCCCCCTGAACACTGCTCATGCTCCTGGCCCCGAGGCCCGCTGTGCTGCCCTTCGAGAGGAATTCCTGGCCTTCCGCCGCCGCCGAGATGCCACTCGGGCCCGGTTCCCAGTCTATCGACAGCCAGTCCCCCACCCTGAACAGGCCACTCTGCTGTGAACACCCCTCATGTGAGGCTGGGCAAAAAAAAAGCACATGGACCTGCAAAGGAGGCCCCCACGACCTAGCTCCAATCTGGGGGGGCACTACCCCACCCTTCTGGTGCCCAGGCACAGACTGATTGTGGGCTCGGGTGGGGTTTGGCATAGGAGGTATGTGCTGATCCCTAGGTTAGTTTGGGGATTGGAACAAGAATCTTATGTCAATCCCTGTGTGTGTGTGTGTGTGTGTGTGTGTGTGTGTGGTGTCATCGGTGGTGTGGGTGAGGTTTTTTACAGGTGAATTAAAAAAATTTGAAAAAAGTGTTTGTGTTGTCTGGCCTAGAATCTGGGAAAATGCCAGGCCCCTTAAAGAGAAGGAGAGTCTTCCTAAATGAACAGAGGTGTATTCAACATTCATTCAAAGAGCATTTATTGAGCGCCCACTGAGGTCACCAACTAAGGACCAGCTGTCGAGCTAGATGCTGAGAAAATAGAGTTCACTGAGACATAACATGCTTTCGCCCTTGGGGAGTTCTTTGTAGTCAGCGAGGCAGACGAGTAGAGAAATAGTTACAGTATGATGCGGTAAGTTCTGTGATAAAGCTGTGTGTTGGTTACTATGGCAGCAAAAAGGAAGGTGTTCAGTTCAAGTCAACAAACATTTAGTGAGTATAACATCGTGTGCTGGGACAAATGCTGCTTTTGGGGGCTATCTGGTAGGGCTTCAGAGGCATCCTCACAGAAAGTGGCAATAATGGTGGTAATAGTTAACATCTGAACATTCACTGTGTGCCACAGTGCTTGCTGTAAGCTCTTTACATGTATTGTTTGATTCTCCACAACTCTGAGGCAGGTACAACTATTAATCCTATTTTATAGACAGAGTGCCTTAGTAATTTGCCCAAGTCACACAGCTGGTAAGTGGTAGAGCAGACCAGAAGCCAGTCACGGAAGAGAAAGTATTCCAGGCAGAGGAACAGTCTGAGTAAAAGAATAGAGGAGTGAAAACTCAGCCTATCGGAATCATTTGGTGGGAGTGGTTAAGAGCTTGACTACTAATTGAAAGGTTGGTGGTTCAAACCTACCCAGTGGTGCCTGGGAAGAAAGGCCTGGTGATCTGCTTCTGAAAGGTCACAGCCTTAAAAACCCTGTGGAGCACAGTTCTACTCTGCAAAACGGGGCTGCCATGACTCCGAGTCCACTTGATGTCAATTGGTTTTAGGATTAGGGGAAGAGAGAGAATGGAAGGTGGGAGGGGACTGGTTGTGAATGTTCTTGAAACCCAGTGTAAACAGCGACTCTATCAAACGTGAGAAATTCCACTAATGGGTGTAAGACGGGACCTCACCCTAAGGGGATTCTGCTCAACTGAAGCCTAAATCGGGGGAGGGGGCACACTCCTTCAATCCCTAAACTATGTTGCCCTCCACCCTCAGACACAGCCTCAGAAACAACAGAATCCCTGCCGCCTTCTTCCTCCACTGAGGCCTTCCCTTCAAATCCCTCCAGGATTTAAGCCCAAATGTCAGGTCGGAGAAGAGATGAAAGGGGGTGGGAAGTATCACTGTGAACTTGGGTCCCAGCACTGACCACGCCCCTTGGGCTCGGGGCAGGGAGTGACCTCACCGTTAGTTCCTGCCCAGGCTTGAAGAAGGTGGCAAGCAGGACCAAGTGGGGGTGCTGTCCCGGCCTGCAAGCCCCGGTCCTTTTGTCACACCCTAGTCTGTTGCAAGGAGTGAGGAAGGGAGGAGAGTCTTCTGTGCCTCCGTTTACCTTGCCAGCCTTTATAAACTAGGAGGCTTCTTCTCACGTAAACACGCCCACAGACTTGAGCTAACCTCCTAGGCAGGAAGTTTTCCCCTGGAGTACAAGTTGGTGGGCTCTGGGGTGGAAGTTGAGGTTCTCATGGGCGGAAGACCACTCCAGCTGCCCTTGGAGACCCCAGACCCACCAGGGTCTCTAATCCGTGTTCTGGCCCCTTGCTCCCCTCTCTTACAACACTGCCCCTGCGGCCCTGCGCTGCGGCGCCTTTAAACCTCGCGGCCCTTGCCCCGCCCCTGTCCCACCCCGTTTGAGGCGGGAGCCTCCTGAAAAACTCTGGACCCGCCGCTGCGCCCCACTCGCCGCTGCAGCCTCTGCCCGGAGTTTGCCACTCCCCAGTCCGCTTGTACGGTGAGCAGGGACTGGGGGTGGGGGTGGGGGTATGTGCGCGGGCTGCAGAAAGCAAGAAGCCGGCGCTTGAGACTTGCTCCTGCCAGCTGGGGGATGAAGGGCTGGGGTCAGGCGAGGGTCCGACGACTGCTCTGCCCCGCCCCGTGCTGTCACCTCGGGTCCCCAAGCCTCTACCGGGCATTGTTGAGCGATGAGGTCAGGCGAGGTTTGCTGGTGAATGCACTCGAGGACTGAGGCCCACCCGCCAGGTGGAGGAAAGGAGGGCGTAGCAGATGAGCGGGCTGGCCCCGAGCGACTGCGAGCCCCGGGCCCTGACGCCGGCCCTGGCCCCACTCTGTGCGTCCGGGGCTTCCGGCGCGACCTTCCACGTGCGGTTCCAGGAGCACGTGTGGGCGCTACCTGCAGTCTGACTGCGTCCTCGAGCCCGCACTCTCCATTCCTCCTGCCAGCTCGCTTTTCTGGGGACTAGAGTCACGGACTGGGGCGAGGGGTCCTCGTGCACGGGTCCCATAGTGGTCTGGCCTTCCCCGGTGTGGGCCAGGAGTCGAGGCTCCGATCGCTCGCATCCTAGGAGAGTACCTCGAGCTCAGACATCTGGGGGCCTGCAGCCCCGACTGCGCCCCGGAGTTCCCTGCCTGTGTGAGGTGGTGGGCGGCTGCATTCCAGGCCCTCTTGCCCCTGCCGGAGCCCCCGCTGCCGGGAAAGCCGGCGGTGGCCGCGGGCGGCGAACGGGCTGCCCAGACCACTGCGTCACTCCAGCGTCGGGCGGGCGGTGGGTGACTCATCCCGCACTAACTGTTAAGGGTGTGGCGGTGGGTCGTGGGGCGGCTGTGCGGGCCGGCCGAGACGAACCGCAAGCGAACGGCCTCCTTACCGCGCTATGCGGGCCACCTAGAGCTTCTACCAAGGAAGTTCTGGGGAAACTTGGTATTTGTGGGGCAGAAAGAAGTGGGGAGGGACTGGGTGTGGAGATCCGGTATAGGAGGAGACCTGCGGCTTGGACCAGGCTCCCCCTAGCTCTCTCTTTGACTCCAGAGCACGAGACAAAGGGACAGCTCCCCATTTCCAGCCCCCACCCCATTTCCCCTTCCTAATTCCACGACCCAAACCAAGCCAAACCCACTGCCCTGCGAGTCCACATGGAGACCCTAAAACTGGAGAGGAGGCCAAGGCAGGGCAGGGCGCAGGGCGCTAGCATTCCAGAACCGGCAAATAGTCTTTGTCCAACTGTTACCTCCCTCCCTCACCCCACCGCCTGGTCGCCGCCTCTGCCCCCTGGGGATTGGCCTTTAATCCTTCCGTCACTCCATCCCTCCTTCCTCTAGAATTTTCAGGTACAGTGCTCTCTAGCTCAGGACACACCTTAGGTTTCCAGGGCCTTTCTTCTTCTCCTGAACTACGTCCTTGAGGCTGCTTCTCTACCCCAAAACTTCCCATCTCCGCCACACGCCCTCCACAGCTGCTTCCTTGAGAAATCCTTGCACCTGGCTATACCTGAGAACTCTGGGAGGTGAACCCTTTCCCCAGAACCCCACCCCTGCCCCCTGTGCTCAGTGCTTTCTCAACACTCCATCCATGTCGGTACCCCCACCCTGCCCCCATTCCTGTATTTGGTACACAGAAGCCATGGCAACAGGCCCCACCTCACCCCCTCCTCCTACGCAAACCTTGTGGCTTCCTGTTTGTGTAAGTTCAGCTTTCTCTTTTGCTCACGAGTCTTGATGGTGAGGGGGCTTCCCTAAGGGGGCTCCCTAATCATAGGTTTCCCCCCATCGTTGCTCCTGCCTGTTTCCCTGTGGGCTGGTGTCCTCAGCGCCCTTTCGCAGTAGTCTCAGCCCCCAAATCTGAGTTGGGACATTGCCATATGTCCTGTCTCCACAGTGAATGGATAGTCCCTTTGTCTTCCCAGTTAAGCACTCCAGCCAGGAACCCTCAAGTGCCCCCCCCCCCCCCCCACGTGTCCACCTTTCCTTTCGCATTGGCACTGGGTCCGGTGAGGTAAGTTTCCAGCCCGGGGTCTGGGTGGGGCTGAGGGTTGAAAGTGCCTTTTGTGTCCCCTCCCCCTTTCCCAACTATTGTAATCCTGTGGGTGGGGGTGGGAGTTGTACCCACAGCTGTAGCCAGCTCCAGAGTTTAGCTTGCTCACTGCCAACCTACCCCCCAAGTCATCTAGCTGTTGTCTGCCCCTGGGATCCCCAGTTCTCGGCATCTCCCACACCTTCCTTCCAGATGGGTATCTCCCTTCTCCCCACTCTGTAGGCGACTTGCTGTTTTCCCTTCCTTCATGGAGGGCGGGTTCTGGTCCCCGTGATGTCTGTCGACAGGGTGGGCCTCTCCAGCTCCAGCAGCCGCCGCCCATCAGCTCCCGCCTGCTCATGGGGGTGGGGCGGAGAAACAGCTGCTGGCCAGGCTGGGCCCTGCTGAGCCCGCCCCTTTGCAGAGCTTTGCCCTTTAGCTCTGGCACTTCAGGGCTCTAGGGCAATGTCCCCAGAGTGGAACAGAGACCCTGCAGCTGGAGGCCTCAGCCCTGCCAGCTGTGTCCAGGCCCCAGAGTGTAGGAGGGGCCCTCAGCATCCAGCCTCTTCCTTTTGCCCTGAGGTGGGTCTGAGAGGCTGCTCTGCCCTTCCCCTGGGGTGACACTGGCAGGGTCTGGCTTTTGTCCCTGCTCTTGCCTTCTAACCCTGGCGTCCGGGTTAATAATTCTTCTGCCCTTTCTTTCCCTGTGTCATAGTGAGCCCTGGGTCTTAGGCCACTTGGCCCCATGGAAACACAGCCCTAAGGCCCAGGTGACCACAGGGAAACCACTTTCAGAAGAGAGCTGTGGAAACCTGGGCGGGGACTAGCGGGCTTCCTGGTGGCAGCAGCCTCTAGCCCCTTCCTCTTCCTGCCAAGTCTTCCAGCCAGTGCCTTCTGCATCAGAGGTTATAGGCTTCTTTAGACTGAGTGGTGACTGAGAAGGAGCCCTTGTAGCACAGTGGTTAAGTGCTTGGCTATGGAAAGGTCAGCAGTTCAAACCTACCAGCCGCTCCGCCGGAGAAAGATATGGCAGTCTGCTTCCGTAAAGATTAAAAAAAAAAAAAAAAAAAAAAAAACCATTGCCATCAAGTCCATTCCGACTCATAGTGACCCTATAGGACCCCATAGGGTTTCCAAAGAGTGGCTGGTGGATTCGAACTGCCAACCTTTTGGTTAGCAGCCAAGTTCTTAACCGCAGCATTGGAAACCCTATGGGGAAGTTCTGCCTTGTCCTGTAGGGGTGCTGTGAATCGGAATTGACTTGACTGGCAATGGGTTTTGGGATTGTGCTGAGCAGTTGGGGCTGGGCTGGGGAGGGGAGGGAGACTTGTCTTCATTTTTCCTCAGGCCTCAGCCACTCAACCGCCTGCCTTCCCCCAGCTGATCGTGTGTGGCTAGTGGTATCGGTCAAGGCCCAGACCCACATTCATCTGGCCCTGCTTTCAGCCTGAGGGAAGTGGAGCGGGGGGAGTTGCTCTTAATGAGGTTTTAAAATAACTGATTTATGGGGAGGCTCTCTGCCGGAAATGTGCAGCTCAATAAGAAGAGTAGAAACGAGCGGCCATATTGGAATTTGGGGGAGGGGATTGGCCTGAGACACACAACCCTCCAGGCTGAAAGCCAGTCCTGTCACACCTGAGAAGTCTGAGAGTGTTACACAGCTGCAGTCCCTGTAGCCCGGCTTCTTGTACTGCGGCTGAACCCTGAGGCCCATTGTGGGGGTGGCTGATTGTTTGACCTGGGGTGTGTGGGAGCTGGGAGGGCAGAGTGACTTCATCCCTTAAATCTAACCTCCTTGGCCTGGAGCCAGAGCTGGGGAGAAGGGGCGACTCCCTTTCTTCTCCTTGAACCACAGGTGCCTGCCTGGGGGATCCCCTTTTGTGAGCAGCCAGAAGGTTAGCTCTGTTGCAGAGCAGAAAGAAGAGCCCATTCAGGGAGGGGATGGGGGCAGGAACGGGGGACCATGTCCCTTCTCTGGTTCTGGCTCCCCCAGGCATCAGTAGCATCCCCGGGGCTTGCTCGATGGGTCCCTGGGTGTGGGACCAGGCAGTGAGGTGGTGGGGAGGACAGGCTGCCTGCAGAGAGGTGCTGCCAATTTAGGCCAGCGGTCAGGAAACCACCCAGTTCTTGCTAACCAAAGTCCTCCAGCTAAGAAACCCTCCTGTGTACTTCCCCATTCTTCCCTCTCCTTCTAGGTTTCCCTAGAAATACCACAAATTACCATAATCTTGTTGGCTTAAAACAACACAAATATATTACTGTACAGTTGGGGAGGTCAGAAGTCGGCAGGGGTCTCACTGGGCCAAAATCAAGGTGTTGGCAGGGCTGCATTCCTCTTGGGGGCTTCAGGGGAGAATCTGTTTCCTTGCCTTTTCCAGCTTCTAGAAGCTGCCTGCATTGCTTAGCTCATGGTCCTGAGTCACTCCAACCTCTGCTTCTGTCGTCACATCTCTGATTCTGGTTCCCTCCTTCAGCCTGTAAGGACCCTTGGGATTCCATTGGATAATTAGCCTATAAGGACCCTTGTGATTAGATAATCTCCCCATCTCAAGGTCCTTAATTTAATCACATCTACACAGTAGTCACTGGCTCTGGGAATTAGAAGGTGGACATCTATTATTCTGCATAGAATGGCTTCTAGGAGGGAAAGTAGAATGCATTCTTATTGCCTAGTTTCTCGCGTGAAGTTCCTTTTGTCTCTGAAATTCATTAAGAATCCAGGAAGCCTCCCAGGCTGCTTCTGTCCATACTCTTCTCTGAATTCCTACAGCATGGGTCTTGCTGTGTGCAGTCTTTTACTTTTCCATCTGTACTCAGCTTGTCTCCCTAATGGCACTCTGGACAACTTTAGGACAAGGACTTCTGTCTCTTCCACAATCCCTAGCATAAATAGTATGTGCTCAATGAAAACCATGTGGTTGATTGAGGGTTGATCTGTCCAGTCCTCCATGTTCTGGCATAGGTTTCCCAAGCTGCTCCATATTCTTCCTCCTCTCCCTGAATCCTTCACCTTCTCGGGGCTATAAAGAGCAGGGTTGGGCTTAGAACGTCAAGTTGCCTTTGCTAAAGCTGACTAACCCAAATGAGAGGCTGAACCTCCAATCTTGGTCTTATGTACCCCTTATTCTACTCCAGTGGGTTTCATACTTCATTCTAGTAGTGGAACCATTTGTTCAAATGAAATCTAATAGCAAATCCGTAGATGGCCTGTGTAGCCCCATGCCACTTCCCAGAGTTCTGAATAGTCCACGTCCAGGGGTTAAGAAGAGCTTTCCCCTGGTGTGGCAGCAGTTCTGGACCTCCCCGCTGGGGCCCACCCTGGGAGATACAGTGTGTGTCCCTGCAGGCAGGATCCTCTACCCCACTGGCTGCAGTGTACTGACCCCAGGACTGGGTGTGTTCTCCCATCAGCTCCCCACAGCCACCACTACCCTTCAGAATGGCCAACAGGGGACCTGCCTATGGCCTGAGCCGGGAGGTGCAGCAGAAGATTGAGAAGCAGTATGACACAGACCTGGAGCAGATCCTGATCCAGTGGATCACCTCCCAGTGCCGCAAGGATGTGAGCCGGCCTCAGCCTGGCCGGGAAAACTTCCAGAACTGGCTCAAGGATGGCACGGTGAGAGCTGGGCCCACTGTGGGTTGGAAGTGCCAGAGAGCAGGGCTGGGTGTGGGGGCCTGGAGATTGCTCAACCTGAAGAAGAGGAAGCTGAGGGCACACCGTTTCCAACTTCTCCCTAAGCCTGGACATCATTATTGGGCAAAGACCCATTCTTCCCTTCCTGCGCACTGAGGGAAGAGTGAGGAGGCGTATGTTTCTTCCTGCAGCAGGAAGGCCCTAGGTGACACAAAGAAGAATATCTCTAAGGAAAGAACTGCAGGAGAGTGTGCTCTACTCAGAGGGATATTGGAATAGAAAGGAAAGATTAAACACTGGCATTTCATTCTGGGCTCAAAAGCAGGGGCTGGGCAAGAAGAACAAATGGCATCACTAGCTTTGGTGTCACCCAGTGTGGTAACTCATGGTGTTACCCCCCGCCATGGACCTCCTCCCGTATCAGACCATACAGAATCCTTAGTAGTGTTTTTTGTACTGTTACTCGTAAATCATAATTCCCGTATATCACTCCTTCTTTTCTTTTAATTACTACTTCATTCTCAAAAAAGTTATTGATAATAGGTTCACAAGTACTAATTACCACAATATTGTAGCTAAACCACCAGAAAATTTGACAAAATCAGGACACCGGCAGCAACAAAAACAACAGCACGTGCTTGTAGCGTGTGCAGACAAAACCACGTGATTCAAAGCATCATTGTAATTGGTTAATAATGACAGCTCTGACCGGAGTGCATTAGAAGGTGCAAAAAGTAAATTAGCGTAGAGTTTTAGCCTTGTAGGTGTATTGATACATGTAAGCTGGGCTTATGAAAAATGTTTTTGTTGTTTAAACTAACTACAGGGATATTTTTATAAAAAATAATAAATTTCCACTGAAACACTGCACAAAAATTTTATAGACAGTCATTTTGGTGTCACCTCCTCTGACAATGTCATTCAGTGTGGTCCGCACCTTCTGCACCCCCCTAGTGATGCCACTGAGAAGGATCCTTGAGACTCACTCCGGACGAAGGAGTCTGAGCTATTTCAGGTAGAAGAGGAACCTCTCTGGTCCATGGCCACTGGTGCTGAAGGCAGCACATGCTGACCCATGGTAAGCATGTCTTCACCTCTGCACACCTGCTGTCCTTCACCCAGGTGCTTTGTGAGCTCATTAATGGACTGTACCCCGAGGGCCAGGCCCCAGTAAAGAAGATCCAGGCCTCCAGCACGGCCTTCAAGCAGATGGAGCAGATCTCTCAGTTTCTGCAAGCAGCCGAGTCCTATGGCATCAACACCACTGACATCTTCCAGACTGTGGACCTCTGGGAAGGTGGGACAGGGACAGGGTGTGGGGGCTGCCCTCGGGGAGACCAGAGACAAAGAGGGGTGTATGTGTTTGTTTTATGGGGGGAGTTGGCCATGTTGGGGGTTGGGGTGGAGAAGGGTATGGGAGGAAGAGTAATTAGGAGGTCAGGACTGCTGACTGAGTGATGGAGGTATCCAGGTATCCAGGACCCAACCCTGCTGGGTCCAACGCATCCCCTTCTTCCCAGGGAAGAACTTGGCCTGTGTACAGCGGACACTGATGAACCTGGGTGGGCTGGCAGTAGCCCGGAATGATGGACTCTTTTCTGGTGATCCCAACTGGTTTCCTAAGTAAGTATTGCTGGGACAGCTACAAGACCAGGTCAGACACAGTGTCCCTACCCACTCCTGTCCCTAGAGAACAACTGATGTTTCCATAGCACTGGCCCTTTACAAAGCACTTTCACATTTCTCATCTCACTTAATCCTCACAAGTTCCTGGAATGGCAAGTGGTTGTCCCCTTTGAGATGAGATGAGAAGGTGGCTTCAAAGAACTTAAGGCTCTCAAGGGCTGAGCTGGAGCCCACAGCAAAGTCTGTGCTCTGTCCACGGGAGAGGTTTACTGGGTTAGTCTCTGACCTCCTTCTAACCACCTATCTCTTCCCACCCAGGAAATCAAAGGAGAACCCTCGGAACTTCTCAGACAACCAGCTGCAAGAGGGCAA